GCTCCCTATTATTTGAAAACACCAGTTTAAGTAGAAGATTGTAAAAATGCATAGATCTGTAAAGAATTGGCTGTACAAGAGTACTCCCCTTTCACAGTATTCCTTTTTACTTCATATGCGAGTTATTGGTTATGCTGTAGGATTTAACCATTACAGCACTAAAAGGCAACTATTTAGGGAAGAGGCAGAAAAAGGAAAAAGGAATGTATGTAAGGCAATATTTCTTTTAGGTACAATAAGCATAATAGTGTTTTAGGAAGACAAGATAAAAATTACTCAAGGCTTGGTTGTCACTGAATAAAAACAATGGGCTAAATACTGAGCTCCTCTCTGTGAATCTAATAATCAATGCCTTGGTCACCATATTGGTAATCTCTGGGGTAGTCGTCTTGGTACTCGCCATGATACTCATCTGGGTATTCTGCCTGATAATCGCTATCACTGATTTCTGACCCATTTGTTCCTGTTCCTTGGCTTCCATTGTGAATAACAGGTTCTGTTGGAGCAGCACAGTATTTGGGATCATATACCTGCCGCCCGAGCCCATACACACTCATTCCTTTCTGGGAAGCAACTTTGTTGGTACCCATCTGCAGAGAAATTGTCGAGTTGTCCACTGGTTGCAAGGTTAGCTTCTGATCGTAGATGTCTCTTCTGGTACCTGGCGCTAACATCCCCGCCTAGAATCAGAGTATAAAAATTAAAACAGCAGCTAAAATCTACTCTTGTGGATATTTTATAAATGATGAAATTACATTGCATGTGAACACTAATATAATAACTTTCCTTTTGCTTAGGCATAAAGGTAGCTTATCAAAATATCCTGATGATGAATCTCTCTTACAAAGCAATATTCATTGGCTTTTGAACTAGGTTGCCCTGCCTTCATATCCTTGCTCTGCTATAAAATTGCCATGTGCCTCAAGCAAGATACTTTCAGTTTTAGGTTTTACATAGGTAAAATGAAGGCAATACCACCTACTTTGGATTTAGTGGAGGATTAGACATAAAAAATGTACAAACAAAGCATGATGCTGGCACACCTGAAAGTTACATTTGAATGTCTATTTTGATCATGTACAGGGGCCGGGTTACCAATTTCAAAAGGCCAAGACACAGAAGAGCCATTTCTTCAGAAGAGCCACTCCCCTCCTTTTCAGAATCCAGTTAACTCCTACTTCATTTCTCCATTGGTGTTAGGCACACACCTCCGCATTTAAAGTCAGTAAAAAAGCAACCTTGAGTGGCAACTAGGAGACACAATGCCACATGTGGCAGGACGTGTCCCATAAAAAGTGAACAACACCAAATCTCCTCTTGGGGTCATTAAGAACAAGCACACTCTGGTTAGATATGAGATCGGTCTGTTCACCAATGGTTCTGGGAACCTCCTTATGAGGTGCTGGTGGTCAGTTAACAAGGAAATAATTCCATTTTGTGTGGTGTTTGAATATTGGCATTTCCCTCTATTGTATTTCCACCTGCATTTCCATCTATTGTACTCACATCCACACATTCAATAGGAATGCTACTTAAACACTTCTTAGTAGGACACCAGATAATAATTTTACCTACCCAAGTTAATTAAGGGCTCCTCTAAAAATAAGTCAGAAGCATTAGAATGAAGAATTTACTTGGATTTGGAGCAAGAACACTGTAACAAACATTTCTTTTTTCTTCTGGTTGGGTAGAAAGGCCAGCTGTTCTAACTGCCAACAAAAGCCATGAGCGTACATCATACTGGTCCTGCTACAGAAAAGGTCCTTTCATTCTTTTGCTTTCGCAGCAAAACCTCCTTTCCTGAAGGGACTATACTCTAAATATACCACACAAAACATACTGACTTTGAACTTAATAAGAGTAGCGTAAGTGCTCGCTGAAATAGCCCTTCTGTATGTTTAGCTCAAGTACAAAGAGGGACTGCTCACCTGGCTGGCTCCCTTGTTGGTGCCCATCTGCAGACTAATCGTGGTCTGGTCAAAGGGCTTGTCGGTCTGCATTTTGGGATCGTAAAGATGCCTCCTGGTCCCATAGGCTGTCATACCTGCCTGGCTGGCACATTTGTTGGTTCCCATCTTTTAAGTTAAAAATAAAATTAGCACTAATTACCGGAAGTTAACAACATACGCGACACAGAGAAAACTTTCTGTTCTGTTCTGAAGATGGAAGAGGCATGATTCAGTCCCTTCCTGTGCTGAGGCTGTGGTCAATTATAAAGGATACAAAGTCTCCTCCATGCTTTCAAGTTCAAGGTGCTCATGTTAAAAAGAAGAATTTCAAACAATGCACTGGATATATAAAAACCTCGTAACATAATTAACAATATAACAACATTCACAACAGGAAGGGATGGACAGAAACAGAAATTTATTATAGGGGCTGAATTATGGATAATTAATATCCTCTGCTACTCTTCCCCCTTACTCTCCATAGCACAGACAACCAAATTAAGGGATGCCTGCTTCAACCATTTAAAAGGACAGAAGCAACCTCTGGCCAGGCAATATGCTTTTCTACTCTGGTATGTTTTGCTTGAAATATGGTAGCAAATGCTAAATGTCTTCTCTGGCAGCTTAACAGGGGCTTCTTGAAGCTTTATCAAAATCCACCACATTTTCATGGGAAAAGAACCCCATTTTATTCCTCCAATTCATGTCACTGGACAGAGTCAGAGAGACATAGAATGAAGAATATGAACTCAACCAAGTTCAGAGGAACAATAATTAAATTCCCCTTCCCAATGAGGGTAATATGGTTTCAGGACCAACCAGTCAGTATACCCTGGTTGGAGACAGTTTCTACTGTTGGTCTTTTTTCCTTAAAAAGATTTATTACAGGGTCGGCCGAGTGGCTCAGTTGGTTAAGAGCACTAGCTCAGAGCAACAGGGTCACCAGTTTGATTCCCACATGGGCCAGTGAGCTGTGCCCGAGGTGAGCTGCCACTGAGCTGCCCACGGGTGGCCGGAGGGTTCAGTGGTTAGAGCGTGTGCTCTTATCATCAAGGTTTCCAGTTTGACTGCAGCATGAGATGGTGGACTACGCCTACCCGCAGCTAAGATTGAACACAGCACCTTGAGCTGAGCAGCCCTGAGCTGCCAACGGGCAGCTGGATGGCGACTGGACTTGGAGCTGAGCTAGCTGCGCCCTCCACAACTAAGACTGAAGGACAACAACTTCACTATTCCCCTTCCCCAATAAAATCTTTAAAAAAAAAAAAGATTACAGGAAAACTTTATTACTAAGAGTAGAACATGTTCATTGGAGAAGACTCAGAAAACATATACAGACAAAAAAGAGGGGGTGGGGAAATCACTGTAATCCCACCATCCAGATATTCACTGTAAGCATTTGTGTGTATCCTTCTAGTTTTACCTTATGTGTCTGTGTATATATCTATTAATATAAATACACATGCATATAAAGATATACATATACATAAAAAAATGCACATGCATCTTTCAAATAAAATTGTGGTAATACTGACCATAGTCTTTTATTACCTGACTTATTGTCCTTAATCTTTGAATTCTTGTCTATCATTTTTATATTAGTAGTTCCTTTTACAGAATTATCATAATTTAACCAACTGACTACTATCTAGAAATTCAAGTTTCCAATTTCTTACTACTGATACAATTTTGTACTGTATAAAAATAAATCCACCTCACATAGACTGAGTAAAGACAGAGGGGCACTGTATCAAGCAGGTGTCAGACAGTGAGGCCCACAGCACACTGGACATTTAGCAATGCTGTTTCTGTGACACTTTCCAGGGGAACAATGTGAAGGGAAAGAAAATTCCTGAACTACGTGTTTCTGAGGAATTAAATGGACAAATTCTAATAGCGCTTGTATAGTGCTTTCTTAAATAAATGACTTTGGCATTGAGGTTTTGTAAAAATTGCGTCATTTAGTCAATAACATTTAGGAATTTACAAAGTGCATTTTCTTAAAAAATAAGTATGTAAGTAGGGGGAAAAATAATTTCCTGGAGAAACAACAGTCGAGTCAGATGGCGTGCCTAAGTTTCTTCCAACAGCATCATCTCATGGGCTTTAATCGGGCATACATTGCATAAGCCCCAAATTCACCTCCAAAACCTACATTATAGTCTTATCTATTCCTTACTATGAGATACACTTTGCATGGTGAGACTGATACAGAATAACTGATTAAGCAATACCACATTATTTACCTGCAAACCAATTACACTTTGGCCAGCTTTTAATTTTCCTTCATCAAAACGTCTTGTTTGTTTTTCTGCATACTTAACTCCAATGTCAATGGTTGTATGGAAGCCTTTTGTTTTAGCCTAGACAGAAATATGCACACTTACTGAAAAGAAACAATTAAATGAAGATTCTGCCAACAGAATTTTACAGAAGGAACAACAAAGAAATGATACAGTCCATGGATGAGGGCTTCTTTAGATATGACCCAAACTAGGAGTGAAAAACCTATTTAGGTCATTCAGTAATACACTGTACCTTTTAAAATCTGAGTATTCTAATTAAGCTATCTTGTATGAGGCAGCTGATGTCAGCAGCCTTTCCACAAAGCTAATAATTATGAAAGAGACGGGCTCCTCCCTGCCTAGTCTGAACTCCCATGGGAGAGCAAAGAGGTAATTCATCAACATGGTGGGAATTTTTTAACAAGCCATTAAAGGCATATACGTACCAGACCTGCTAGAGCCACCAGTGTAGTCTGAACCTGTGTCATGTTTCCATTCTCAAAAAGATCATTGGCTTCAAATATGTCGTGTGGCTTCATACCATAAGCCTGAATAGCTTTAATAAAGTTGCCAATATTCTCCAACTACAAAGAAAAAGAGTCAGAACTTTTGGAGCTAAATAGTGACATTCATATTATCTAAGACTTCTAAGTACTCATGGCTAAAGACAAGACTCTAGGCAGAAAGCTACTAGGCAAAGACTGTTGACCATACATACTAAGCATACATACTACATATAGTTCTCTCTGGAAAAGGAAAACAGGAAAAAGAGCATTTCATATTGGGTCACATAATGGTCTTTTTAATATTATTAAGCAATAAAGTTTTTTAATTTCCTGAAAGGTAAGACTTCCTTACATGCTTTTAAGAATTCTGTGTCACATTAGTAATCAGAAACGAAATGTAATTCCCCAATCCCTGCCTGAAAAATTTGAGTAGGATCTTACTATAAATTGAAGGGAGTTTTGCCCTAAGTCATGGATTGTGCAAGAATGAATTTCTGTAAGACAACTTACAATGCTTAATAAAAACTTTATTCTTTTAGTATAGAAAAATAATTTATTATGTTTTAATTTTAATTTAAAAATAAATTTATAGTTACTAAAATGCTTATTCTCTTATATCTCAAAATATATACTCAAGACTAAACTATCCAACTTTACTTTATACATATTCATGAACTGAGACTATGTCTAATATGGTGTTCTATAGTCAGCTATTAGTTGTTAAATTCCTTGCTTTTTCACTCTTTTGTCCTTATTGTCTAGATAGTATTTCTCTGTGTAAGCTGTCAAATCCCCAGAGATGAGACACACTAAAATATTGGGTCGTCGGGAAAGTCAAGACACATTTTTGCATTAAAAAACATAGAAAAATACGTCATGACATTCCCGACAACCCAATATCAGAAAAATTCTAAGTTAAACATCTAATAATCACAGAACTAATTCTAAGTAATTATGGAAACATTAAAAATAACATGGTAAAACATAACCATGTGCACAAATTTCTGCTGAACTGTCTATTTTACAATGGTAATCAAGTTTTCGCTGCATAAAGATTAACCAGCTAAAACAAGAGGTTTCTTGTTTGGCTGTTACCTGAGGCCAGTTTAATGAGGACTCGTTGACCTTCTTCACTGAGCCTGGCTGCAGCTTGTTTATGAGTCTGAAAAGAAAAAGTGTGACACCTTACTTATTGGTCACACAATAAACAAGGATTGGAATGTAAAGTCGGTTCCTTTAATATCAGTAAAAGAAGCACATTTGCAGAATATCAAGGTTTGACACCCTGAACTGGGAAGCAAGGCAAAACAGCGGCCTATGGAAAGGACTAGAAGAACAGAAATGGCCAAATCAAAGCCAAAACTTACTCGCAGAGGATTATGCCATCTTTTAAGCCCAGCTGAAAGTTGGTGCCAATGCTCATGCCGGTCACTTCTTCTATCCAATTGCGAAGATCTTCTTCTGCTTGATGATCATACTTGGAAGCAATCTGAAACACAAGTAACTTTGAGAATTTTCACTAAATCATCAAACTCCTGACCTACGACTTGCTCTGCTTCAGTGATCCCTTAAGTCCACAGTTGTGACATGCAGTAAATTACACTCAACTGGAGTTCATTAGCGAATCTAACCCACTATTAAAGCTTCAGTAACTAATAAAAATGTTTTTGGTTAAGTCAGTGCTATATAAAATTTGAACAGCATGTGGCGAGAAGCTGAGACTGAGAAGATCATATGGATCAAGATAACAGATTCCCACCCATGACACACAGGAAGTGAAAAGGGTTAATAGCATATTACAATATGGCACTTTAAACTTTACAGATTAAGTCATTATTTTACCACATTCCAAAAAAAGGTGATAGGGTTCTGATGCATACAACCATTTTATATAGTACTGCAACTGGCCAAGGTGTATCAATCCAACCGTTTCGTTGTCTGGAAAATTCTGGTGTTGCTATGCCTTTTCTGTCTCTGTCTCTGTCTCTCCCCACCCCCACACACTACTAATTATTCTACAACTCTGTTTATGTTGTCTATATCCTATTAGACTCCTCAGAGTTACTTTTGGACCCTTAGTACCTAGCATTGTACCTGACATCCAAACATTTAATAAAACTGAAAGAAAATGTAATTCTTTACTTAAAGAATTCTACAATGAAGGCAACTTACTGACACAGATGCTACACTAGTATACATGCTAAAACTACCGTAGGTTTTGGAAGATCCCTTCATAGTAAGACCATAAACCTCAGTTTAAAAAAAGACAATAACATTTATAGAAAATATTGTTAAAAATCACATATTCAAGTTCTTAAGCTAGTCCTTGTCCTAGGGCCCTTAAAGAGGCAGGTCCACTAGAGTTAGTAAGGAAAAAAACACAGTTGGGAAGAAGGAAAGTTTGTGTGTCATTTTCCTTCTCATTCGCACAGGTGAAAATGACTGTTATGCAGCCAGTGGAGATTATGATGACCTTGGCAGTCAGTTACAACACTTGGAAATTGAAATAAATGTAGAAAGGTTTGTTTTCACAAAACATGATTCACTTTAATTACTGAAAATAAATGAAATGGGATGATGACATTTTTGTCATACATGAAGAAGTCCTTCAGGTTCTAGTCTACACCAGTCAGAGGAACCTTCTCCCCCTGCTTCACCCTAGAGGGTGGATGATTTCACTAATGACTGTGTCATTTAGGGAGACAGCAGTCCTGGATTCTCAGCATTTTCCTCCCAAGTTAGAGAAATGGCTCCACCCCTTTGACAGAATAATGGATAATTTGTTTACACTGTAGATTTACTTCACCAGGATTACAAATGGAAATTCAATGAGCTTATATTATTAACTAACACTGTGCAATGTTTCCTGGACCAAATTTTGGCCTGGAGGTTAGCTTATAAAAGATAAGTTTAGGCACAATGTAAATAAAGCTAGTACCTAATGTGTGGTGATTTTCTGCCCCCTGGTATCTCCATCCCCTAAAAACCATACATCTATTCTGGCTTCCTGCCAGCTTGGGTTCCATGGGCATCTGGACATGGAAACATGGAAGGAGGACGTAGTGGTGCTGGAAGGTTTTGCCACAGGGACACACCGGCCTCCGGAAGCAGGAAGGAGCTATTGTTACTCCTATCAGACCTGTGATAAGTATTCTTAGATAATGCATCTCCCAACATATCAAACATATGTATTCATATGTGGGCACCTTCAGAAAATGGAACAAGTTAGTGGAAAAAAATGCAATACTTGATTATATTCTCACACTTGAGTCTTGTTATAAGTGGCTAGAAGAAGAAATTCTATATAATTTTTTTTGGGGGGAGTTGGTAGTGGACACAAAGAAACAGGCAAAAAAGAAAGGAGCAACTATTTAGTACTCCTTCATCATGAGCTATGGAAAGGCAACCTTTAAGTTGAATTTTTTTCAAAAGTGAAGCACTCTCAACTATAAGATGCATTTCAATAAATCTAAAACGAAAATTTATATGCTGGAGGGGGGGGGGTCTGTCTTGGCTCTGAGCCTGGCTCCACCCATCTTGTTACGGGCATTGGTTAATTCATCTTAACTTCTGATCCATTTCCTGTCTATATAAAAGGAAACCTGTTGCAACAACACTGATGGACCTAGAGGACATTATGCTAAGTGAAATAAGTCTGACTGAGAAAGACAAATACCGTATGATCTCCCTTATATGTGGAATCTAAAGAATGGAATAAATGAACAAACAAAATATATATAGACTCATAGATAACAGAAAAAAATGATGGTTGCTAGATGCGAGAGGGATTGGGGAATGGGTGAGAAAGGTGAAGGGATTAGGAAGTACACATTGGTAGTTACAAAACAGTCACGAGGATGTGAAATACAGTATGGGGAATATAATCAATAATGCTGTAAAGACTATGAAGGGTGCCAAACGGGTACTGGACTTATCGGGGGGGATCACTTCATAGATTATATAAATGCCTAACCACTGCACTACACCTGAAACTAATATAATATTGATGTCAACTATAATTATATAAATATATATATATATAATATAGTCATGGGAATACAGTCAATGGTATTGTAATACCTATGTACGATGTCAGATGGGTAGTAGACTTAGTGGGGTTATCACTTTCTGAGGGGTATAAATATCTAATTAAATGAGTCCTGACTATACCCAGGGACTGTGCTGATGCGCCTTCTTTTCCTGTCATGCCAGCAGTACTGTTATGGAAGACCATTAAAAACAATACAGATGGAAACAACAAAGTCCTTGAAATCAAAGCTGGGTCTTCCTTGTTACTAAGTGAAGATCCCACAGAATCATCTGGTATGCTGGCTAAAACCACAGAAAATATGGAATGGGTTATCAGAGTGAGTTCATGAAAACCAGTCTCAGATGGTCTATAAATACACGAAAACCACAGCCTCTACTTACATCCCTGTCCTTATATATGTATGTCTAAGCATGTGCATAAATTTTCCTTTTTTGTTTTCATCCACACATTTTATATAGGGTCCATATGAATACATTTTCCATTGAGTTTACCTCAGTAGAGGACAAAGACATTATATGAGAGGGGAAAAGCACTATCCACACGTGGGTAGAAGGTGAATTTGGATTTGATCAAGCACACACTGGTTGGCAAGTGGGATTTTGAAATAAATGAATGTGAAAAATGGTGTGTAGATGTTGGACAACCAAAGGATGGAATACATATAGTAGACATTGTAAAAAAAAAAAAGGGGGGAAAGCTGAATTCAGTGAGAGCACTAGGTCTCTTCCCATTCTAAGCTGGCTAAACAATTTAGTCCATCAGTAAAAATGGGAATAAAGCTCTTTCTCTTCACTTTTTCCAATGTAGAGATGGAAGCCATGTTGGAGGGCTTTTGGGTGTTTTGTGGGATGGTGGTGGTAATTGTTAACCAAAGGAGACCTATTATTATTCAACCAAAAAATATAAAAGCATATTTATGTTTCTTTTGTTCAAAAAGTGTCTGAAAGATCCAACACCATGCCCCGAACCACAAAGTGGCTACAGATCAAACTTGAACTACCCTAGTAGGAACACCAGAGAGGAAATTTCATCTTCTCTGTTGATTGTTCTCATCAAGGACTGGAGTCAGATAGACGTGGGTTCAAACACTGACCAGTTAGTTACAGGGTCGGGTTCTGGACAGCTGACTTTGTCTCTGAGGCTTAATGTAATAGTACACGAACAGATACAATTCATAAGCTCATACATGCAAAGCTCAAGGTCCCAAGTGGGAAACTAAAACTGAAAACCAGGTATGCATCCACATGATGGGACTGTCGGTTTTGCCTTTTGGTTTTCCTACCCAAATACTGCCAGTATTTTTTAAATGAGTGAGCTTTCTGCAGTCAAGCCAGCTAACTAAAAGTCAAGATTTACGAATATGTACTTCTTTAAAAAAAAAAAAAAGTTTAAAATGAAAAAAAAAATTGTCTAGGGATAATAAAAAGTCAATTTTGAATAGTCTCTTAGCTCCTGGCCTGCAGCATTGTGTTCTACAGGACACAGAAATCTTTAAGTGTTTCTTTTAAAAGTATTATCAGAGCACAACCCAAGTAAATGATACATAATATCTAACTACAGAGGTTATTTTTGAACTGTTAGATATACATATCTTAAAATCGAGGAACTGAGAGCAACTAAATATGAAAATAAAAAGTAAGCTTTGGCAAATAAAGTTTACTCACTGTTTTCATCTAAAAAGCTTTAATTTCTGAACAACAAGCAGAAAATGCTGACATTTTCTTCCTTGCAACAAGAAAGTTAGCTTAAATTAATCTTCCCGTTAATAGCTCATGGAAATTTTACTCTGATTTGTTTAGAAATCACTCTTCCAAGTTGTTTATAAACATCATTTTCTTTACTCTTTTTCAAGATTTATTTGACCTTCCCCAGTTCTCGCCAGTCCCCAGCAGCCCCTTCCTTTCCTCATGTGCCTATGCCTCCTTTCCTAAACACCCAGATTCCCGAGAAGCAGTGCCTCCTCACCCTTCTTACATCAAGGCGCACTTGCAAACAACTTCTGTACAGAGAACACCTACCAGAGGCTTCTCACTAAAGCCTACCAACATCCCCCTTGTCAAATACAATAAAAAGGCAAAGAATACTGCCATTTGCAACAACCAAGGAAGAATCTCAACAGTTTCATTCTAAGTGAAATAAGGCAGACGGAAAAGGGCAAGAGCCATATGATTTCACTCACATGTGGGGCAGAAAACAGAGAGCAACAAACTCAGATACACACAACAGTATGGTGCTTACCAGAGGAGAAAAGGGAACGCGGGGGAGGCTGAATAGGGTAAAGGAGGTCAAATACATGGTGACGGACGGAGACCAGACTTTGGGTGGTGAGTATACAATGCAATATACAGGTGATATAGTTATAAAACTGTACACCTGAAATTTACATAATGTTACTAACCAATACATTTAATTAATAAAAAAGGGCAAATAAAATAAAGATGAAAAAAAAAAAGCCTCTGGGGCATTC